ACCCTTACTGTGTGGGAAGAGCTTGGGGCAGAGATGGTACTTATTCCTTCTTAATACAAAAAGTTTTGTTTGGCACAAGGGCTCCTTGTCTGTCCTGCAGGAAATTCAAATGGTTATCCCTCCACAGTCCATCTTTTTTGATAAAGCTCCTTGAATCAATTCCCTGTCTCTAATGCCAGACAACATCAATAAAATGCATCAAATTGATTTGAGAAGAATTCCAACAGAATAATCAGAGATGAAAAGATGTCCCTATTATTTAGGGTCTTCAGTCCATGAAACCTGATGTTTCTCCCCAAAGACCATCATCATGGATTCTGTCCCAGCATAAGTGGCTTTTCCTCCTCAGCTTGCTCAGGGTAAGTAGGCAGAGCTGCTTGCCCAACAAGTAGCCTTGAACTTGAGCTCTAGGTTCTGTCTACAATGCCAAAAGGAGGAAAATTTGTTGATTGTCTGATTTGTTGGCTCCACGGACATTGGCAACCATACATATAAAGATTCCAACTGCATTATTAAGTTGACTATACAGAGCTGAAGTCCATCTATATTTTATTCGTTTGGTCAAAACACAGCCCAAATCTCTTTGGGGACTGGGAGTCTATAGTTCCTATTGGGGCAAAGTGGAGAGTGTCCTAAATCAAGGAGGTGGGATGGATTTGTACATGAAGGAAAACCCATAGAGCCGGACCCAGTGGAGGGTCAGAGAAGGAGGACCAGATCTGGTTTGATTTCATCTGGAAAGGCACAATGATTAAACATATCCTCTTGACATTTATTTTCCTTACCAAAAAATCAAAAGGGCAAAGCTATTGTGCCTGAAGTACAAATGATGGTAGGGTGACTCAGACTTATTTACAACCATCAAAGAAATGAAAGATATGGATTGTGTCATAATTAATCTCCTTATCACCGTGAAGTGGCAGCCACGTCCCACCGAGGAGTGTCATGTGCATAACAGCACAATTATGTGATGATGTCACAGCTGCTAGCGTCCAGCACTTAGCCTCTCTTTTCCATCCCCACCTATCCATCCCCACCCACCCCGAGCCCTGGCTGTGTTTGTTTTGTAGCATTACCTGGATCAAAGACTCTTTTACAAAATTGCAAGAATAGAGAAAAAGGTTGGACCACAAGCTCCACAAAGCCTGTTTCCCTTGGTTACTCATGATCCTTGTGGGTTAATATATTTTCTTCTACTTTGTACCTAGAAACATGGCTGAAACACAATCACGAGTTTATTTTGCGTAAAGGGAAGTAGGGCACCGAGCAATCATCTAATGAATACTGTCAAGATGGTCAGTGAATTTGGAAAATTCCACTCTCAGAATAATGACTTTCTCTATTCTGTAGCAGATTTCCTCTTGGCTTTAATTATCCACAGAGTTGTCCAATTTTCTGATAGTCTTTACTATTGTTGACATTACCTGAATAGTTCATTTAATTTATTTCATTGGGTTCTTTTGGTAGCCTTTTATTTAAAATGGTTTCTTTTAGCAATCTATTTATTTACTCAGTATGCATTGGTATAACTGTCTGGTAGTGCTGTTAAAAATTATTCTAAATTAGTGATGTGATGAAACAATTTATTATTATCACTCCTGGTTCTTAGGGCTGGTGACTGAGCTGGGCAACCCTTATGTGGATTCTTTCCTGTGGTTGCTGCTGTCTGAAGGTTTCTTCACTCATGTTTGCCTTCTGCTGCTCAGGAGTTTCTCTCTGTCTTTCTGTCTCTCTGTTTCTGTGTCTGTCTCTGTTTCTTCTCCCTCTCAACACCTGGCTAACTTGGGCTTCTGTAAAGCTTGTGCATTTCTTGCTAATTAGATCTCGTACACTGTGACTGGCATCCTCCAAATGTTCTAGGAAATGCTGAGGAGGCTGCAGAGATTCTTAACTTCAGCTTTGGTGGTCACACAGACCATTTCCTCCATCTTCCACTTACCCAGGTGATCACTGGTGAACACAGATTCCAGGGACCAGCAAAACAGATTCTACATCTGGAGGGCAATGGTTTGTGCATTTAAAGAAGAAAAGGGGCTGGGGATTTAGCTCAGTGGCATAAGCACCTGCCTTGCAAGCAGGCAGTCATGAGTTCAATTTCCGGTACTGATAAAAAGGAAAAAGACAACAAGAAGAAGAAAAGAAGTGATGTGGTCCTCTTAGTGAGAAGCTATCACAAGCGTCTGCAGGTGTTGTGCAAGGGGTGGAGACCACATTAACCATGCAGGCATCACCCTTGTGGCCACTGTTTAGCTTAGGTTGGATTTGGCAGTCTTTGCATCAGGTGCTGAGCGATGCACATCAACACTGAGTCTACTTACTGAAGAAAATGCTAGCTCTTCTGATCATCTGCATCTGACCCTTTTGTCTTTCTCAATAATTAGACTAAGTGAGGTTTGTGAGTATCCACTCCATAATATGAAGGTCATGAACTGATTCATTCAAGTATTTTAAAGGAGAATTCTTTAAAATCTAGGCTGGGCAACATTGGGGCATTCAGCTCTTGAGAAAAATGTTGTGCTCCTGCTGGGCATGGTGGCTGAAATTAGTTTCTTAGGCTTCCTATGGAGATTAAATACAAAGCTGAAAAGTCAACTTCTGCTCATGTGCAGTGGTCAGCTTGTGACAATCAGAAAGCGTGCAGAGGGACTCCAGAGGAGAAAGGCAGCATTGGTTACCCTCCTGGACATTGTATTTTGGAAAGAAGTAATGGGTAGTTTGCCACAGTTTTCTTCTCCCTTGCACCACTGGAGGCGGGGATCTAAGTTTGCTAAGTAAAAGGAGATTTCAGGACAGGAATGTTAGCAGAAGCGCGGGTGGTGTTCAGCAGTTCTCAGGTCTTATCAGTTTTGGCATTGCTTTTGTCCGTTCCGTGACACGACGGTGAGGGGCTGGGGGGACAGGCTGATGATGACACAAGAGATACCTTGACATTTCAGAAGCAAAGGTCAAAGGCTGAAACAGCACGGAGCAGGCAGAATTCCTGGGGTGCGTATCAAGTCTGCCACCAAGCTAGCTTCGGCTTCTATAATCAATGTCTCCCACAGCATGAAAGGGCTTTATGGGAATATTTTCAATCAAACAGCAGCAGTAACAGCACATGCTTTGCTTTGCTTACCTGGATATTTCAAGCAGACTAAAACTAAGTGTGTTTTCTATCAGTTCATTAATGTTAACTTTTTGACTTTTACTAAATCAATAGTGGTCCTTTTCCTTATACTAGTGATCCTTGTGTCTCAGGTGATTTGCTAAATTCTTCTCATTCTTATGTCAGTTTACTTATCTGGAATATCATCCCTACTTTTTGTAGAAATTCATGGTAATTGGACTTGAATGACACCCAACTCTTCATTCTGCGGGCACAAATTTATTTGATACATTATTTGCTTCCTGGTGAAGTATCACTTTACAATTTTTCAGTGGACCTAGATTTGCCCACCCAGATAAGTAAACTGAATATCAGGAATTTGTCCACATACCCAAATACACATGTACCATGAACATAGACACTCGTAGCGTGTAATACGTGCAAAGGGCACAATTCCCAACAAGCGACTGTTCTCTCCACTTTTATTTTTTGTGGGTTAGAGTCAAGCAGACTGTTTGGCAGGTGGAAAGTGAACTGGAACAGTGCATATGTCTAACATGAAAAATACTAAACCTTCACATTTATGTTCACAAAGGTGAAAATAATCTAGATTCCTGCTCTCCGTATCCTCTGGGAAAATTCTTTTCCTAAATTCATGTCAACATACGCCCTTGAGCTATGCAAATTGTGATTATTTAGTGGCAAAATGAGTGTGTTTCTCGAATAATGAGATTACTGATCTAACTCCTGAACCTAAAGCTTCAAAGGCTTTGCCTCTCCATGCAGACCTGGTAGGAGTTTGTCCAGCTTCGTTTTTTGCTGTCTTTGAAGGAGCCACTTGCTCCCCGAGGACTTGAAGCTCTTTCTCTACAGTGTCCATCCATATTCTCGTCTCTTCCGACTCTGTCTATGGAGGTACGAACTGAGTGGAAACTTGAGGTCATTGTCACAAAAAATTCGGTAGCCAACATGTCACCCCACTGTTCTTTCTTTTAACCAATTTGCTGTCCTTAAATCCTTTTATTTCCAAAGTATGGTGCTGCCAGTGCATATTCAATTGATGAGGGCCTTCCTGATTTGTATGAGCTCAGGGCCGTCGGGAAACCTTTTCAGTCCTCCAGATACCGTGAATTATTTTGACATTCTTGATATTAACACAAAATAAAGCTTTCTTCTCATAATTAGGCATATACTTAAAATGCAAATACTGCTGGAAGCATTGCTATAATGATAGGTCCTCATTCAGAGGCTGGTAATGACGGGTGGCAGATCTTTTCCTGAAAACAGGTTTTGATTAGGACAAAGTAGTGAGTGAGTTCTGGAAAATGACAGATCCCTGTATTCTTAAAGTAGGGGTTCAGAAGGAGTATTTCCATGCTCCCCACAAAATCCAAAGCGATCCCTTGGTGTGCAGAGAGAAGATATTAAGCCTTCCATTTATTTTAAGTTTTACTTCATCTTAAATTGTGAATTTGGGGTGCATATGTTCTTTACCATGTGATGTCGTGATCCATGTCACATATAATATTCAAATGAGAGAAGGGACCTATGTTGTTGATACACACACTAGAGTAATACATATGTAAGTCATAAATAAAAATACCCAAGTTGAACACATTCAGACATTTTTTTAAATCAAAAGTTTGTGACCCAAAAGTTCAGAAGTCTCTGCTTCCAGAGGGTGAGTGTGGATAAGGTCCTCAGGATGCTGTGGGGAGGAGCGGCCACAGAACACATGTTCTGATTCTGCTTATTCCTGGTTCCAGCTCTTTGGTCAATAGGGAGTTCACTGACTCCCAGTCTGATGCCAGCACATTCCCTTTTAAGATGTCAAGAAATTGCTCAATGTTCGGATGTTGACCAAAGAAAGTAGATGTTGATCATGCTCTTTTCCCCCCCATTTTGTTTTCTCAAGGGTCTGCTGGAAAAAAAAAATTGAGGGAGTTGGCTGTTTGTGCAAAGGTGACTGGTTGACTAAGAAGACCAGCGGTTTTTTTTATCTGCAGAACAAATAAAGCCTGGTCAAAGGTAACTGAAGCGAGTGTCTCCCACCTTGTTCCTTTCCACGTCTAAGGGGGGTGTTTGTGCTCTGGGTTGCACAAGAGAGGATCCAATCTATGCATGTCGAGTGGAGGGGGTGCATTTTAGCGTATTACAGCTAAAAAGTAGTCACCGGCCTTTATTCTTAGCTTGACAGGCACCTGATGGTGGTGCTTAGACAACACCAGTGAAAAAAAGGCTATTTGTGGCTGAGATGTTGCTAAATGTACAGCATCTGGGTAGCTGAATTAAATTTTTTTCCTCTTTCCCCAAAGATAGGTACAATTGAGCACTGTAACATACTAAACTAAGTTTACTAGTTCTCAGGTATTGCTAGTCTGCATGCTTGTTGGTTAAGGATTATGGGCAACTGGATTTTCCTTATGATCGTTCCGTAATAAGTTATAAGCAAATATTCAGAATAGACAACCATTCTGAAAATGCAAATCATAGTGGGGGACTCAGCTGGCTTTTTTAGAAGATAACTTCCTAGGCATAAATATTGAAGAGAAAATGGAATGTGACTGAATGGCTGAGTAAAGTATTTGTTACTGGGGAAAATTTTTAAATGTGTGAGATCTCAGGGGACTTAATTACCCAGAGGTGTACTTAATAGTTTTCTTTATTTTTTCTACTGTTTCTTTTGGTACTAAAGGCACATACATTCAAGGAAAAAGGAGATTTATGGGGTACAATCATGGAATATGATAATGAATGAAGTAACAATCAATTATGGGCAGATATAAGTGAATTAAACAGATGAACCCTTTTTAAAATTAGGTTGTGGAGAGTTTTATAAACCTTTTCAAAGAAAGCTTATCATCAAAGCCTTATTTCTCAAGGAAATATTTAAGAAAGGGTTTGGAGATTAAGAACAAACTTTCTACCTAAATTTTGATTAAAAGAATTCTGATGGAACATTTTAGGTGAGGTGGAAAATCCACTGAAAATAATTTGCCCTTGGGAGGATGTACGTATAATCTGTATGCATATCCTGAGTATTCCCATGTATTCAGAGTATTCTGAGTATGTTCTGAATAATCTCAACATTTATAACGGAGCTTGTTTAAAATTAAAAATTGGAAAAAAACCTTTTCCAGGATGGAAAAGACAAGTTCCAGCTTCTGAGCCTAAGCCCTGCTCTGACCTATGGTTTGGAATTTCACTTATGATCAGCTATTCAAGTGGAAAAACTCATTATAGTAAAAACATAGGTTCATTATTTGGAAGAACTTCTATAAAGACTGAGATTCTGGGCCAAGTTGTAAATAGAGTTGGACTCTGTTAAAGCCCAAGGAAGACAGCCATCTCTCTGACTGCATGAATCTGTGGTTTTTGGTGAAAATAATAAAACCTGTGGAGGGTCTACGAAGCCCCATCCGTTACCCACTGAGGGCTGATGACATTGTGTCTTTTAGAGAAAGGTGGTGGCTGTGGGAAAGTGTGGATGTTGCAGGGTAGGCTGGACTGCAGGAGGGGAAACAACAGAATAGTGTGAGATTGAAAACGAGCTTGGAAATCAGAAGAACCTCCAAGACCAGCCAGTGAATAATAAAAGCAACAGTTAGAGACCCACGATTAAGAAGGCATTTGGTAAAGAAGACGGCAACACGGGAGCAGAAAGAGACACAGGAGAGAGACGGGAGAGATGAAGCTTGTCTCCCACATGCAGTGCACGGTGGCGGCCCCAGCCTCCCGGCCCTGGTTTTCCAATCTGGCACTGGGCTTGATGAGGCTGTTTATTCAGCGACTGTATCAGACATTCCCTTTTCCTGCCTGAAGAAGTCCCCTTTGAAGAACTGCTCTGCTGGGGAGCAGTTTCCCCTTGGACGGGCTACTCCTGTTTGCAGTCTGAAAGGAAAAGAACTGGAAATGCCACAAGAATGTTCTTTAAAGCGATATTCCAGCACCACGTGAGGGGAGGATGGAGTAGCTGGGAGAGATGTATTTCCTGGTTGAGGTACTTTTTTTCCCCCTCTCAGGAGAATGTGGCAGTGAACAAAGGTGTCCCACGAGTGGGCTGGGGGTCAGATGTTCATAAGCATCTCTGGTTCTGTATGGGAGGTTGGGGAGAGGGGTGAGAGCTACGGGGCTGGACGGGACAGCAGCACAGGGGTCCCTGTAGGCGTGAAGAGTGCCAGAGAAAACAGAGTAGACCTGGCAACCCAGGCTGCAATCTTTATCTGCAAAGGACTTGGTGGTGGGGACTTATCAGAGGCCATGCTCTACTTTCAAAGCCAAGGGGCAGATGCAATGTTCTCTAGAGAATGGTGGATGAGGTTCAGAGTCCAGTTAGATTATCCAGAGGGGGAAAATTTTACTTTGGGCTTTCATATTAATTGTGTGAATATGAGGGAGATTTTTTTTCCCCTTTTTCAAAAAGTTTTTCATCTGGTGCTCAGGTGACCTGTGTGATGCAGCTAGGGAGGATGACAGTCACCTGAATTCTCTCCTTTGGAAAAGCCTGTGGCCAAAGAAAGAGCCTTGGTTTCCCAGCTCATTACTGAAGGGCAGAATGGCAAGCCAGGCCTCTCGATGCTTGGGCCTGGACCCTTTGCTCTGTGTTCTTGGGACCTGTAAAAAGTGCCAGTGGGAGTCTCGGGGAAAGAAAGGAGGGGAAGGTGACATTCTCTACCTCCTCCCAGGCATGTAGAAAGTTACTGTGACTTTGAAGCCACTGCTTTGCTGTGCCCAAATGCTCTCTCTCTGGGACTGGCCTTGGGGAGGAGATTCAAAGCAAAACCTTCAGAGGGTAAGTCACATATTCTAGTCACTGGCTGCCCATGCCTGTGGCTGGTTTGTTCAGTCTTTACCCAGGCTGCAAAGCAGGAGTTCTCCAGAATGAAAAGCGTGCTTTGTTCCATTTTGGAAACGAACCCTCTGAGTCACAGATGCTACTTCCCGGGGGAGACCTGGTTTTCCAGGAGCGGGGGCAGGATCCGCACTCTCTCCCTGATTCCTTGCAGAGACCTCTGTGGATGCCCTCAGCTCTCAGAGCTCAGCCAGGAGATGGATGCTAAAGGGAACAAAGGACCCTGAGGGCACCTGGTCTATCCAGGAGGAAGAGGACTCAGCTCTCTTCTGGGGGTGGGGGTGCAGAGCCTCTTCTCAAAGAGGAAACCAGCTGCAATGTTAAGTACAGAATGGTGCATGGGGCCTTTATCTTTTTCTGGATGTTTGCCGTTTCTCCACGTAGAACTGAAGTTGCTCCCCATTTGAGCCATATCTCCCCATTATTTGTATCCTCTAAGGCTTCCTAGTGTTTATAATATCTGATAAGAATCCGTTTCCAGCCTGTAGCTGGAATCAGAATCAGTTGGGGGACAGACATGTGTGCTTGGAAATACATCCCAAGAGGAATCTCACGTGCAGCAAAGTTTGAGAATTATTGTTTTATCCCCTTCCCTCTGACTCTGGAGACTCTTGGTGACTTCAAAACATGCTGTAAGCATACACTCAGTCTCAGGGTAGGTAGGGCTTATGGTTTGCGGAGTCTTCATCCACATTTTTGCCTAATTTAGTCCTAGAGCAATGGGGCTGATGTAACACAGGCATCTGATGTTCAGGGTGAGAGGCAACACAGTGACAGTCGTGGACACACAGTCCTCCTCTGCATCTTGGGGCAGGGCATAGTCCCTGCCATCACACCTGCAGCTCCGCGCCTTTGTCAGGTGTAGCTGCTCTTTGGGTGGAAAGCGTCACGCTTTGCTTGCTGTCCGCAGGGCCGGGAGGGTGTCCATGATTCACACAGGGTTCCCCATGAAGCCCCCAATAGATAGAGTGGCTAAGACTGCTCCTGACGTACCCATTCGTGCATAAGCTAGAAGCCATCGGGAGAAAAGCATCTTTGTTTGCTATCAAATTTTGTAAAGCACAACTGAGAAGTGGTGATCATTTGTTCAGAGAAAGGGCAGTGCTTATCTGGTGACCTGTGACTTAAACCGTGTGTCCCAAACTTGTCTTCCTATCTTGTTTTACCTGGAGTAATGAGAAAGGGGGGGTGGGAAACATACCGAGATCCTAAAATGTACCCTGTGACCGGTACTCCCAATGATGGCAAGACCGACTCCATTGAGACAGATTGCTTTAGATGCTGCTGGTTTGTAGCCAGAGCCAGAAAAGACTCCTGAGCAAGTAGCTTCTGGGCTGCTGCATGGGTGAGCAGTCTGCAGGCCACTTAATTCTGAAGGTCATACTGCTCATGAGTTCACACGGTGTCCAAGGGAAGAGGACGCCAAGCTCTCGGTGACACTGTGGGGGTGGCTGAATATTCTAAATGCCAGCCGCTGCATGGTTGTGTATTCTTTGATGAGCTGCAAAGAATTGACAGCCACCAGAAACTGGGACTTGTCAATGGAAGGAGAAAGTAGGCCTGTAACTTCTGCTGCTCCCCAGTTCTCCTCTACTTAGCTGAGAGGGACCCTTTCTGTAATGATGGAGTACCAGATGATTGATATGAGTGTACCCTGATTAGAAAAGGTTTCATTTTACTTGTGCATGGTACATGGAATTAGTTAAGGGTTGCACAGGAAAAGAAGTGAAGGACTATTGTTCGCATTAAATTATAATGACAGCCTTCCTAACCACTGTGTATTTATTATGTAAGAAAAGAAAATGTCTGGTAAAATTCTGTATAGGTTAATAACACCTTCATAATATACTTCTTCTTTTCTATTGACTTGAATAGCCCTCCTACTGACTTTTAATGGATTATTAGAGTTAATTACATCAATTGCAATATAATTGATTCTTAAATACTATGTAGAAACCTCATACAATTATGGAAAAACAAAAGTTATCTAGACATCTCAAATCAAAAAAGATTTGGAATTCCTGCACATTTAATTTCTGATAATCACTAGTCAGTTTGGACATTAAGATTGCATGGTGTCTTGTTTTCTCTTTGCTAGGTTTTGACAGAATTGATAGTTTTACAACATTTAACTCAATATGCACGGAAATATAAGATTAAAGCTGTGAGTGCAAAT